GTTACCCTTGTTACCCTTGTTACCCTTGTTACCCTTGTTACCCCTTGTTACCCTGTTACCCTTGTTACCCTTGTTACCCTTGTTACCCCTTGTTACCCCTTGTTACCCTTGTTACCCTTTGTTACCCCTTGTTACCCTTGTTACCCCTTGTTACCCCTTGTTACCCCTTGTTACCCTTGTTACCCTTGTTACCCTTGTTACTCTTTTTACCCTTGTTACCTCTTGTTACCCTTGTTACCCCTTGTTACCCTTGTTACCCCTTGTTATCCTTGTTACCCTTGTTTCCCTTGTTACCCCTTGTTACCCTTGTCACCCTTGTTACCCTTGTTACCCTTGTTACCCCTGTTACCCCTTGTTACCCCTTGTTACCCTTGTTACCCCTTTTATCTTTGTTACCCTTGTTACCCCTTGTTACCCTAGTTACCCCTTGTTACCCTTGTTACCTTGTTACCCTTGTTACCCTTGTTATCCTTGTTACCCTTGTTACCCTTTTACCCTTTTGTTACCCTGTTACCCCTTGTTACCCCTTGTTACCCTTGTTACCCTTGTTACCTCTTGTTACCCTAGTTACCCTTGTTACCCGTTGTTACCCTTGTTACCCCTTGTTACCCTTGTTACCCCTTGTTACCCTTGTTACCCCTTGTTACCCTTCTTACCCTTGTTACCCCTTGTTACCCTAGTTACCCCTTGTTACCCTTGTTACCCCTTGTTACCCTTGTCACCCTTGTTACCCTTGTTACCCTTGTTACCCCTGTTACTCCTTGTTACCCCTTGTTACCCTTGTTACCCCTTTTATCTTTGTTACCGTTGTTACCCTTGTTACCCTTGTTTCCCCTTGTTACCCTAGTTTCCCCTTGTTACCCTTGTTACCCCTTGTTATCCTTGTTACCCTTGTTACCCCTTGTTACCCCTTGTTTTCCTTGTTACCGTTGTTACCCTTGTTACCCCTTGTTACCCTTGTTACCCCTTGTTACCCCTTGTTATCCTTGTTACCCTTGTTTCCCTTGTTACCCCTTGTTACCCTTGTTACCCCTGGTTATCCTTGTTACCCTTGTTACCCTTGTTACCCTAGTTACCCCTAGTTACCCTTGTTACCCCTTGTTATCCTTGTTACCCTTCTTACCCCTTGGTACCCTTTTTACCCCGTGTTACCCCTTGTTACCCCTTGTTACCCTTGTTACCCTTGTTACCCCTTGTTACCCCTTGTTACCCCTGGTTACCCGTGTTAGCCCTTGTTACCCCGTTTTACCCCTTGTTACCCTTGTTACCCATTGTTACCCTGTTTTACCCCTTGTTACCCGCTTTACCCGCGTTTCCCCTTGTTACCCGTTGTTACCCTTGTTACCTTGTGTTACCCCTTGCTACCCTTGTTACCCCTTGTTATCCTTGTGACCCCTTGTTACCCTTGTTACCCTTGTGACCCCTTGTTACCCTTGTTACCCCTTGTTACCCTTGTTACCCCTTGTTACCCCTTGTTACCCTTGTTACCCCTTGTTACCCTTGTTACCCCTTGTTACCCCTTGTTACCCTTCCTACCCCTGGTTACCCCTTGTTACTCCTTGTTACCCTTGTTACCCTTTTTACCCCTTGTTGCCCTTGTTACCCCGTGTTACCCTTGTTACCCTTGTTACCCTTGTTACCCCTTGGTACCCTTGTTACCCCGTGTTTCCCCTTGTTACCCCTTGTTACCCTTGTTACCGCTTGTTAGCCTTGTTTCCACTTGTTACCCCTTGTTACCCCTTGTTACCCTTGTTACCCCTTGTTACCCTTGTTACCCCTTGTTACCCTTGTTACCCCGTGTTGCCTTGTTACCCTTGTTACCCTTTTTACCCTTGTTACCCTTGTTACCCCTTGTTACCTTTGTTACCCTTGTTACCCTTGTTACCCTTTGTTACCCTTCTTACCCTTTGTTGCCCCTTGTTACCCCTTGTTACCCTTATTTTACCCTTGTTACCCCTTGTTACCCTTATTCCCTTGTTACTCCTTGTTACCCTTGTTACCCCCTTATACCCTTGTTACCCTTTGTTACCTTGTTACCCTTGTTACCCTTGTTACCCTTGTTACCCTTGTTACCCCGTGTTGTTACCCCCTTGTTATTTTTGTTACCCCTTGTTACCCTTGTTACCCTTGTTACCCTTTGTTACCCTTGTTACCCCTTGTTACCCTTGTTGTTTTTTACCCTTGTTACCCTTGTTACCCTTGTTACCCTTGTTACCCTTTTTACCCCTTCTTACCCTTTGTTACCCTTTTTTGTTACCCTTTATTGCCTTGTTTTGTTACCCCTTGTTATCCTTGTTACCCTTGTTACCCTTGTTACCCCTTGTTACCCTTTGTTACCCTTGTTATCCTTGTTACCCTTACCTTTGTTACCCTTGTTACCCTAGTTACCCCTAGTTACCCTTGTTACCCCCTTGTTATCCTTGTTTACCCTTCTTACCCCTTGTTACCCTTTTTTACCCTTGTTACCCTTGTTACCCCTTGTTACCCTTTGTTACCCTTTGTTACCCTTGTTACCCTTGTTACCCTTGTTACCCTTGTTACCCTTGTTTTATCCTTGTTACCCTTGTTACCTTGTTACCCCTTGTTACCCTTGTTACCCCTTGTTACCCTTTTGTTACCCTTTTGTTACCTTCTTGCCCTTTGTTACCTTTGTTACCCTTGTTTCCCTTGTTACCCTTGTTACCCTTTTGTTACCCCTTGTTACCCTTGTTACCCCTTGTTACCCTTTTACCCTTGTTTCCCCTTGTTTCCCCTTGTTACCCTTGTTACCCTTGTTACCCCTTGTTACCCCCTTCTTACCCCTTTTTACCTTTTTACTGTTGTTACCTTGTTACCCTTTTGTTACCCTTGTTACCCTTGTTACCCTTTGTTACCCTTGTTACCCGTTTTACCCTTTGTTACCCTTTTTACCCATTGTTACCCTTTTACCCTTTTTACCCTTGTTACCCGCTTTACCCTTGTTCCCCTTGTTACCCTTGTTACCCTTACCCTTGTTACCCTTGTTACCCTTGTTACCCTTGTTACCCCTTGTTACCCTTTGTTACCCTTTGTTACCCTTGTTACCCTTTGTTACCCCTTGTTACCCTTGTTACCCTTGTTACCCTTGTTACCCCTTGTTACCCTTGTTACCCCTTGTTACCCTTGTTACCCCTTGTTACCCTTGTTACCCTTTGTTACCCCTTGTTACCCCTTGTTACCCTTGTTACCCTTGTTACCCTTGTTACCCTTGTTACCCTTTTTACCCGTGTTACCCTTGTTACCCTTGTTACCCTTGTTACCCTTGTTACCCTTGTTACCCTTGTTACCCCTTTTACCCCTTGTTACCCCTTGTTACCCTTCTTACCCCTTGTTACCCTTGTTACCCCTTGTTACCCTTGTTACCCCTTGTTACCCTTGTTACCCCTTGTTACCCTTGTTACCCTTGTTACCCTTGTTACCCCTTGTTACCCCTTGTTACCCTTTTTACCCTTTTTACCCCTTGTTACCCTTTTTACCCTTTTTACCCCTTGTTACCCTTGTTACCCTTGTTACCCTTGTTACCCTTGTTACCCTTTTACCCTTGTTACCCTTGTTACCTTTGTTACCCCCCTTGTTACCCTTGTTACCCCTTGTTACCCTTTTTACCCGTTACCCCCTTGTTTACCCCCTTGTTACCCTTTTTTGTTACCTTTGTTACCCCTTGTTACCCTTGTTACCCTTGTTACCCTTGTTACCCCTTGTTACCCCGTGTTACCCTTTTTACCCCTTGTTATTTTTGTTACCCCGTGTTACCCCTTGTTACCCTTGTTACCCCTTGTTACCTTGTGTTACCCCTTGTTACCCTTGTTACCCCTTTTTACCCTTGTTACCCTTGTTACCCCTTGTTACCCTTTTTACCCCTTCTTACCCTTGTTACCCCTTGGTACCCTTGTTGCCCCTTGTTACCCTTCTTACCCCTTGTTACCCCTTGTTACCCTTTTTACCCTTGTTACCCCCTGTTACCCTTGTTACCCTTGTTACCCCTTGTTACCCCCTTTACCCTTGTTACCCCTTGTTACCGTTGTTACCCTTGTTACCCCTTGTTACCCTTGTTACTCTTGTTATTCTTTGTTAGCCTTATTACCTCTTGTTATCTTTTGTTACTCTTGTTACCCCTTTTTATCCCTTGTTACCCTTATTACCCTTGTTACCCCTTTTTACTTTTGTTTCCCTGTGTTACCCCTTTTTATCCCTTGTTACCCCTCGTTACTTTTGTTAGCCCTTGTTACCCTTTTAACCCCTTTTTACTTGTTGTTACCCCTTGTTACCCTTTTTGTTCCTTTTTACCCTTATTACCCCTTTTTACCCTTGTTACCCCTTGGTACCCCTTGTTACCCTTGTTACCCCTTGTTACTTTTGTTACCCCTTTTTACCCCTTGTTACCCCTTGGTTACCCTTGTTACCCCTTGTCACCCCTTTTTACCCTTTTTTCTCCTTGTTACTCCTTGTTATCCCTTGTTACCCTTTTTACCCTTGTTACCCTCTTTTACCTTTGTTACCTGCTGTTCCCCCTTGTTTCCCATGTTTACTCTTTTACCCCTTTTTTTCCTTGTTACCCTTGTTTTCACTTTTCACATTTTTCCGCCATGTCTTTCCTGTCCCCCTGTTCCCTTGTTTCCCCTTGTTCTTCCTCTTATCCTTCTACTTTCGGTTCCTTGCTGTTCTTGCCTTTTTCCTTGTTCTTCCTCTTCCCGTTATACCTCCTTTTACTGTTTGTTTCCCCTTTCCCCCTTGTTTCCGATGTTTTCCCTTTTCCCTGTTTTCTTTTCCTTTTTCTTTGTCCTGTTCCCCTTTCTTCCTCTTTGTTACCCCTGTTCCCTTTTTTTCCTTTGCCCCCTTTTCCCCCTTTTTCCCTTTTTTCCCTTGTGTTGCCCGTTCCCCCAGTTCCCCCTGTTTTCTCTGTTCTGCGTTATTTCCCCATTCCTATTGTTCCCACTGTTCCCCTGTTCCCTTGTTTCTCCTTTGGATTGAAGCAAAGATTTATGTTTTATTTCAGTTCCCCTCTTCGAATTGACCTGACAACAATTTTGGTAAGTTCTGTTTTTAATGTATTCTTTTATATTTTTATTTTTTCCATTGTTTTATTTTACTTTGTTTTTGTTTTTTTTTTTCTTTTTCTTTTTTTCGTCTTTCTGTCTTCAGGTGAATGTAAATCATTAATGAAATTTTGTTCTTTTTTACTTGCAGAGTGACTCAATGCCTATCCTTGCCTCATTTTTGCGCAAAAACCAAAGAGCACTCAAGTTGTCAACTTTGACAACTTTAAATGTTTTGGTTACTAACTACGGTAGGTTTCCTGCCCGAATTTTACAGGATATATTTGTCGACTGATCGCCAAGCGTGTTTGTTTGGTTTAAAGGGGTATTTAGTATCAGTGTGGCATATGTTGGGGTTTATTTCCTTTAGTTTTAAAGTCTTCATCATACATTTCCATACCTAAAAACAAATAAAAAGTAAATTAAAATTTAAACCAAGGATCTTTCACTGCCAAATTTAGCCAAAAGCAAATTTCGACCAAATTTCATTTGTGAAATTTTGAAAGACAAATAATACAATGTGAAAGCACTACTGAAGAGGTTCATTTGAAGGGTCACATCATAGGATTTTATCCACAATGTCAAAAGTAAGAACAACATACCAAATAAATAGTACCATGTGAAAGTACTGCTGAAGAGGTTTCATTTGAATGGTAACACCATAGGATTTCATCTGCAGACCCTAAAGTTAGAACTACATACTAAATAAATTGTACCATGTGAAAGTACTGCTGAAGAGGTTTCATTTGAATGGTTACATCATAGGGTTTCATCCACAGACACAAGAGTTAGAGTCACCTTAGAAAACTTCATCAAGCACTCTGGCAGTGAAAGGGTTAATCCACAACATTTACATTTTACTGTCGATCACTTGAATGTGGAACCGGCATTTTTCGTTGTCAGCGATCTTAGGGAGTAAACCAAGGAGTGTCTGATTGAAGTAGATCAAACAGCAAAATGGCAGAGAATTGAACCACTTTAAACACAAAAGTCCCTTCTCTCGGTTTTGATAATTAAGTGTAATTCATGTATGATTTTATTGTCCAGCAAGATAGTTGATATGACTCGTGTGCTTTCTATTTTACATAGGAAATTTACTGACACAGGAGAATATAGCTGGAGTACTAACAGAGGTCCCTCCCCTCATTAGTGAAAGTGACCTTCACATCTCACAGGTTCGTAGGGCACTAGTCAGGCCTTTGCAACCGCTCGGGCCTGGAGTCACGCTATAGAGAGCTTTAGATTCTAAGACGAGCACGACTACGAATACGAGATTTTCTCAGTACTAAGCAGTGCTCGCGTGAACCAGCGTCAATTTTGGCGCGAAAACTTGGTAGCCGTCGTCATTCTACTACGAGTCTTAGCGAGAATGTCGTAGTGGGGGAAACAAGATATCAAGTGTAAGAAGTTGTAACATCTTGCGATCAGGAGTGAGCGTAACCTCCTTCACTAAAGATAACAGTGCCAGCCTTTCTAGTGAAAAATGGTAAAATGAAGCTTTCTGGGGAGTCTATATTTTGAGAATGCGCGAAAAAAACTTTATCTCGTCAAATCGTCTCGTCATCGAATCTAAAGTAATGTCGTGACTCTGTCATCGAATCTAACATGGTCCCGGAGTAAA